AGCTGGTCTGGGTATGTCAATGACATGTGATGGAGATACAACTCCTCGTGATGGCTGTGTGGAGATTGGAGTAACAATGGAACTAGTGTTATCATTTGTTTGTGCTTATGACCTTATGACCTGCCACATGCACATAATCTCAAGGGCCAGGGAGGATGGTAAATGTTTAAATGTATGTGGTTGAGAATGGGTTATGGATGACATGTTTAAATCATGTTTAAGTATTAATTGATATGTTTTATGTGTTATGAAATGATAATGGTGAAACAGAATGAACATAATTGATACTTTGTACTCCAGATGCATGCCTGGATAGTGAATATAGTCAATACAGAGTGTGATTGTTCTTTAACGTACGTATGTACATAATTTTTTGAGTCATGCCACTAATAAGATACAGAGGCCCTACTTAGAGAAGCGCAAGTAGCCCTCGTGAGTAGCCAACATGTGATACTGAAAGATGTTATTCATTCACATGGGGAGGAGGAACTATCAGCTGTATCAGTGTGGCTATGCATGTGTCTGTATAAAAAGGAGCACTCGGCTTTGTTATGCAAATAATACAAGTCTAAATTCACAAGTTCCAGTCTCTTCAGAAATATTTTGAGTCAAATATTTCTACGACAGGTCCTGCTCAGCCCTTTTTCCCAAACCTTTACCGTGTGTTCAAAAATAAACCTTTTATGTTTGACGGTATAGCCTACATAATGAGATTATCATTGACAAAATAGCGAGATTATTTTGTCAAACGGCAGCCAAGAATCAATGATCAGGTCACCAGAATAAGGCACAGCGTGCAGATACCAGCTGGCTAGAATCAGGGCGCAACTTTGGTTTTAGAAGTGGGGGGAACATAACTTCGCGGGTGATTTGGGGGGCATCTTATTTTTTTTGGGGGGGGGGCATCTAAAGCTAATTTCCTGCATTTCTACACAATCTAATATGACCCATGGCCCTTCTAGCCGTCTCTATTTAGAACAACAAAAAGTAAACAAAAATGCCCACAGTCATCAAGCTAGGTAAGATACAATTATTAAATATGTTTAAGTGATCAATGATAATTAAATAATCAATAATGTGTTGCACCTTTAACCAATAGCCTATCAAATGAACAACTCTTACAAATAAAGTACAAATAATTAATTTGTTATTCTTTATCAAGACATCCTCTATATCAAATTTCAGCCAGAACGCCCAGCCAGCCCGAGCCGCCTGCACGCTCGACCTCCACCAGTCAAGTTAATAACTAAACTCTCTCCCCAACACAACTTATTTTTATGTCTCAAGGGAAAGGTTTGGAAAACATAAGTTTAATAAAACCACACATACATTAACACACAGAAACAGTACATCCTCCATACAATTCATATCATAGGCCTAATAGTACTGTAGAGCTATTTTTACTTGCACACAATATAGCTGGATCACCCCATCCTGTCCCTGGGGGTCCACCGCCCTGCAGCGCCCCAACCCAACACACTCCACTCAGCTTTAGGATCTTAGTGAAACATTCATTATTGGTTTCAGGTGTGTTAGGTCAAGGCCAGAGAGACAACCAACAGAACGGCAGACCCCCAGGGCCAGGACTGAGCAGCCCAGTAGCTACGGATTGCCTAAATGGGTATCTCCCCTGAAGTGGGCATGTTTTCATTATATACTCCCTTTGTTGTACAGTATTCCATATAAGGCATCCAGACCTTATGACAGTTGCACAGTATACCCGTAATCTTGATATGTATCACTAGATTTGATTTATTACTTGACATTTCTTCCATCCGTTGTGGGAGGATAACCAACCTTCCAATTAATGGCAATGCATTTTTTAGCCGCTATAAATTCTAGGTTACACAATTTCTTATAATATAATAATAATATGCCATTTAGCAGACGCTTTTATCCAAAGCGACTTACAGTCATGTGTGCATACATTTTTACGTATGGGTGGTCCCGGGGATCGAACCCACTACCCTGGTGTTACAAGCACCATGCTCTACCAATTGAGCATTGTCCTGCTGGAAAAACCAATCATCAGAGTTGGGGAACAATGTCAGAGCAAAAGGAAGCAAGTTTTCTTCCAGGACAACCTTGTACGTGGCTTGATTCATGCGTCCTTCACAAAGACAAATCTGCCCGATTCCAGCCTTGCTGAAGCACCCCCAGATCATCACCGATCCTCCACCAAATTTCACAGTGGGTGCGAGACACTGTGGCATGTAGGCCTCTCCAGGTCTCCGTCTAACCATTAGATGACCAGGTGTTGGGCAAAGCTGAAAATTGGACTCATCAGAGACGATGACCTTACTCCAGTCCTCTACGGTCCAATCCTTATGTTCTTTTGCAAACCTCAGCCTGGCTCTTCTTTGCTTCTCATTGATGAAGGGCTTTTTTCTAGCTTTGCACGACTTCAGCCCTGCCCCTAGGAGCCTGTTTCGAACCGTCCTCGCCGTGCACTTCACCCCAGCTGCCGTTTGCCATTCTTTTTGTAGGTCACTTGATGTCATCCTACGGTTGTTGAGTGACATTCTAATGAGTTGGCGGTCATCCCGGTCAGTAGAGAGTTGTTTTCGCCCTCTGCCGGTCTGTAGCTTTGTTGTCCCCAATGTCTGCTGCTTGACCTTGTTCTTATGAACCTGCGTCTTTGAAATTTTAAGGATGGAAGCAACCTGACGCTCACTGTATCCCTCTGCCAGTAAAGCCAGAATTGAACCCTTCTTTTCCTCACTCAAAACATTCCTTTTCAACTCTTTTGGTATGGTCAATAGTTATTTTTTGATTAATATTACTTTTGAGGTACTATTAGCACTGTTTTTGCCATCCAGCTGGTCCTATTGCAAGAGGATAGTGATGACCACAGCAGTGTTTTTTATACTTTTCCTCGTTAAATAAGATTTGGTTCATGTGATCACCTAATCAGTACCTAATTCAGTAGAATGAGGTGTGCCTGTGTTGGAATTCAACAGACACTGGAATGGAATGGCTATCATACATGTAGAGGTGCTGATTTAAGAAAAAGTTGCAGTGGTCTCCCAGGTCTTGCTCACATTTTTGTTTTACATGTTTTGTCATCTGGAAAAGCCTATATCAACTCTTGATACAGTTTGGAAATCAGTCTTTAGACTGCCTTAAAATAGGTTTAATATTTTGAAGCTTCTTGCTTCTCCAGTGTTTTCTGCACAAGAGACAATAAAGCATTGTATCTGCAAAATTCACTTCCCTGGCTACCTGACGCTGATGAGACCCCTGTCACCATCTGATCCTGCTCAGATGAGGTATGACAAAGAATTACCTTGGTGTACATTTATACATTATATTATCCAATAATATAATCAATGGTTCAATAATTGAAATTACCATTATTCCCAGAACCCAGATGGTTGCCTACCCATCAACTCAAGATGGAACGTTGTATCCATTCACTAATTGTTATAATATACTGCAAAATTCACCTGCGCTCCATAAACTGGTCTTCCCTGGCTGTCTGACCCTGCAGGGACAGCTGTCACCATCTGATCCTGCTAAGACATGATGAGCATAGTATTGTGTTCTGACTGTGCATCATAACAGTGAAGACTGTAGAGCTGTTTATACCGTGTTAGTGTGAAAAGTAGGGAATTAACTAGGAAAACGGACAGATCAATAACGTTACATTGCTATTCTGAGTAATAAAAACATTGCGCTGAAAAAACTTCAGAATATCGGTCTTCGGTTTCATCGTTTGATTCAGGTCTGGTGTGATTGAGGCAAAAATAATAGCTAAAGTTAGTGAGCTAGCTAGCTAACGTTAGCCAACATTTGGCTAGCTCTAGCTAATGGTATATCAAATGTACTTCTGTTGAAACGGGACAAAACAAAGGCTACAAAACATTTCCAAACACACAACAGCTGTTAGATACTGCTACCTGACGGATAGCTAACCAGAGCTGAACTGGCTGTGGTAGCTACTAGCTAGCTAACTAACTGCTAGTAGTTCATTCATTTCAGTCGAGAGGGGATGAAATATTAGCTAACAGTAACGTAACACATGTCAGTTACACTACTAGCTCAGCACTGGGAATAAATACTTATTTTTCTGTCAAACAGCAGTTACCAGCTAGATCAGTCATCTAAAGAGTAGCCAGTTTCTGCTCTGCTTGCTTTTACAACTCGAAGAAAAAGCATAACACAGACAGCAGCTGCCTCTGTTCATCTCTCTGAGCAGGTCGGGCAGAACACGTCAACCCTGTTAGCCATAGATAGACATGCTAGAAATGTTTTAACAATTTCATTTTTTTTGTGAAGCTTGCATTCAGTTACCACTCCCAGATGCACACAACATGCTTCAATTCCCCCTGTCACAAGGGGATTTATGGATGATTTAAGGTGAAATCATCAACCCTGTTACAGTCAACCCTGTAACTTTATTTGGCAATTAATAGGCACTTACTATAGTCATGTTTTTAACCTCTTGAGATGGGAAAATGTGTTGAAAGTGCTCTTTATGACAGAATCTTAAAATTAGGTGAAATCAAATGTTTTTTTGTTTTTTTTACTAAGTTACACTTTGTGGAATGACCCTTTTACCACTTGGAAAGTCCCTTGATGTGTTACAGCACAATGGTATGAACTCCTGAGAGGTGTGAAGAAAAAGTAGGCCTACTGGAGTGAGTGCATCCCAGGACACATTGGGAATGGATCGTAATGGGGGTCATAGTCATGATACTAAATGTGTAATAAAATGTACGACAACAATTTTCTTACTGGAGGAATAGAATAGTTTCGAGTGGACTAATATGTAGTAAAATCTAGTTATTGCTCTTGTTAGAAAGGGCTTTGTTTCCTCGCGCCAAAGCTCCAGTCTCGAGCCATTAATCACGTTCACATGATGCAGAGCTCGAGGTCCAATATCTCTGATGGCAATAATGACAACAGTATCTATAATGTAATCACAAATAATCAGAAGATACGTTTACAAATACAATCACCATTCATGAATATCTCTCATCTATGTTTTCTTTGTTCAGATGTGTTTTATTCTATCACAGAGTTCTCACGGTAAGTAAAGTGGTCTGTCTGTGAGTGTTCTCGCTCTCTTGCCTTGGTGTGTTCCCCCCTGTCTTTTGCCCCCTGTCTCGTGATACCTCAGCTGCTGTGGTGTAGACACGCACAGGTTGAACAGCCACTAGTTTGAGAGACGAATACCATTCCACGTAAAATAAGCACTGTAGTGCATTGTACCTTATATGGTGCTTCTGTTTCAACAATGCATAGGAGCAATAGGAGTGGGGCCCAGTGAATTGGAAGAGTTCTGTTTTGGTTAAAAGCATGAAATAACTTGTTCTGCATTTAGACCTATTGTTGAATGTTGCAAGGAAATGGTATCATTGTAGAAGTTTGGTATTTTGCCATAGGCTATTATCAATAAATATATTGTCAGTCTAAACTGTTTTATTGTGTGTGACATTCAACAACATTTCTTATACGAACATAACTGAATGCCTTGACATGGTGTTTTGATTAATAATGACATGACTCTGTATGGGGGAAGAGGGTCAAACTGCTGTCTCAACTGTGTAGTTAAGGTGAAAGCCAATGAGAATTCCCCACTGCATGTTCTTAAAGACAGTTACTGTAAATTCCAACTTCCTGTACAAAGGTTGTTCCACCACTTTGTTAAATCACCAAACCCAGTTCCCGTTAGGGACTTTGAGATGATTTTAATTTGAAGTGTTGTTAAACCATAGTGTGGCCGTTGTGTTCTCTCCTCTCCCTGCAGGGTTGGTGGTGGGCCAGTGTGGGCTGTTTCAGGCCATGTTCCTAGTGGCTACTTCATCATCAGTATGACCGTGCCATCTCAACCAATGGAGCTCTGGACGCAGGAGGGGCCTACTGTATCCTCCTCACCAGTATATACACACACACACACACACACACACACACGATAACACATGACACACACAGCTGTACATGATAGTCAGAAGAATAGACATATAATCTCAGGTGATACATGAATGCCTTTCCCACACAAGCCCATATACTGTACACACACTCCACCTTAGTGTTATTTCAGTTTCATTAATGTAGCATTGCATTCATCAGCATATAGGTATTTGTGTGTGTGCTAGTGAATGGCTAATATTGTTTTCACTTTATCTGTAAGACACATCATGAGTGTGTGAGAGGGGGATGTGTGTGTGTGTGTGTGTGTGTGTGTGTGTGTGTGTGTGTGTGTGTGCCTGGGCCTATTCTTTCAGTGCCTGATGACATTCACATTTTGAAGGCCTTCACTACACTATAGCCTTAACCCCATCCTCCCCAGACGTGATAAGTCGTGCATTGTGGCCAGAGTTTGGGGGCAGCCTAGGCATCATGTTCTTCCTGGCTAACGTGTGTAGCAGTGCCCTCTATATCCTGGGTCTGGTTGAGGCAATAGTAGCAACCTTCGGGCTTCCAGAAGGTATACAGCCATACTCTCTCCCTCTTTCTGCTTTGTTTGTAGGTCAACGTTTATTGGGATGAATCTTGTCCTGGAGGCAGACTTGAGCGATTTCCACTAGATGGGCCAGCGGCAAAGTCAAAATTGGCTATATATCGTAAGAATTGATGAAAACAAAAATGTACTTTTTGGTCTTAATTCAAGGTTAGGCTTAGGCATAAGGTTGGAAGTGTGGTTAGGGTTAGGTTTAAAATCTGATTTTGTGCCTGTGCCAGCTAGTGAATACCCTGCAGAGCTGCCTCCAGTACATGAGCCATCCCAATAAATGCCAACCTGCGCTCTGTTTACATTGACAGACTACCTTTCTAGTATATTGTATTTGATCTAAAACTAATCTGATTTCACAATGTCTACTCATGCATTTCATGCCCATTTGAAAGCTTATTGAATCACACTGAATCAATTTGAATCAAACTGAATTGGAGTACCACCCTTTGTGACCTTTCATGGTCTGTTTCAACTATCACCCTTTCACCCTCATTCCTTCACTCCCTCATCTTCTCATCTCATTAACCCCCTCACCTTTTAACCTACTCACCCCCATCCCTCCCTTCTCTCTCCAGATGGGGTGAGCCCAGCGGGTTCCCTCCAGGTGTTACCAGCGGGGTATTGGTGGTCGATGCTCTATGCCACTGGCATCCTCCTCCTCTGCCTGCTGGTGTGTCTGGTGGGGGCAGAGATCTACGCCAAGGCCTCCTTCCTCATCTTCTTGGTGGTCATGCTGGTGCTGGCCACCATCTTTATCAGCTTCTTCGCGGTGCGCCCGCGCACCATCCTCCTGCCCGCCGCCCCGCCCGTCCACAACAGCACGGGGCCACAGCCACCCAACATGGCCAACTTTACTGGCTTTAAACTGGACACACTGCTGGGCAATCTGGATGGTGAGAAAGGGTGTGCGTGTCTGCGCGAGGGGGGCGGTGGTGTGTCTGTGTTACGCATCAACATAAGTGTGTGTGCTTAATGTATATGTCATTCTAAATAGAATTGCGCTTGATTAAAGCTGCAATATGTAACTTTTTGTTCGCCCCTACCAAATTCACATAGAAATGTTGTTATAGATCTGTCATTCACGTTGAAAGCAAATCTAAGAAGCGGTAGATCTGTTCTATGTGCGCTATTTCTATGCTTCCCCTTAAGTTTATTTTTTGCGTCTTTTACTTTAGGTTTTGTACACCAGCTTCAAACAGCTGAAAATACAATATTTTGGTTATGGAAAATATATTTCACAGTGGTTTAGATGGTACACGATTCTCTACACTATACTTGCTTGTTTTCTCACAAACTGAAATTAGGCTAACTATTAGAATTTTAGCAACCTGGAAATGGTGGAGCAATTTCTGCATAGTGCATCTTTTAAGGAATTAATATAGCAAAAAAGTATTAATGTGAGCATAGGCAATGTGAGTGACGTGTCATGTCAGTTATGCATATGGTGACAGAATTGACTGGTTTTTATCTTACACACACACCAATTATAGGCTTAGCCTCTTGATTTGCTGAATGTTTACCAGGGTTGCTGGCAGTGAAAAAGGTAATTGATTATTTAGTTGTAATTAGTGGGTCTCATAAATATCCTTTGGCTCCCCATTTCCACCGTAACGTACCAACCTGACTGTACTGAGCTGAAGGATTTATATTCAGTGTGGAAATCAACCACATGATTACTCTGCTAATCGCCATAACTCAGTTGCACTGACCACACAGCGCTTTCAAAGACCCTGTTGTCAACAAAATCACACACACACTTAGACACTTTGTTTGCCACTATAAAGCTTTCCCTCCAATGAGAAGGAAGTGGGTTAAAAGTCAATCTTCATATGTAACACAAGGTATACCTGAACATGCGATGGCAAGATGAGGAATTTATGTCCTTTTTGAATTCTAAGTCCTCCTTAAAGGCAAGAGGCATGTATGTTACTCAATTCAAAAAATTTTTGTTAAATATATGAATTTGGGGAGGATTCGGACATGAAGCTGATTGAATTGATATCTACCCCCCCCCCCCCTGTGTTTGCTGTCATGTTTAACGGTTGCACAGGCATCATGGCCGGATCCAACATGTCAGGTAAGAAATGGATGTCTGATCAAAGGGGTCGGTCAGGAGTTATGCAAGGGACCAGATACGTGTGTGATTGTGTGCGTGTGTAGTCTGTGTGTGTCTAACCTGGTGTTGTGCTGTGTCCCAGGTGACCTAAAGAACCCTAGCTACTCCATCCCTGGAGGAACCATCACAGCTATCATCTTCACCTTCATCATCTACAAGCTCCTCAGTCTGATGGTGGCCTGCTCCTGTGACCAGTCACTCACACACGCACGCACACGTTTGGGCATAATCTATGTAGATGAACACACCTGTAACTCGTATGTTCACATACAGATATAGGCACACACAAACACACAGGGGCCCAATCCAACTCAAACCCGACTAACATTTGCACTCAATGAAAGACTCACATACTCACATTTACAATTCTATCTCTCTCACACACGTTCTCTCACTCCCTCTCCCATCTCTAGCTCAGTGCCAGTGTGCAGTATTGATGTGGCACTAAAACAATTGTTGCCAAAGTGCTAAACTGACATAAAAGGCCCTTAAAGGAGCATTGGAAATCAATACAGCCATCAATTATACTCCTCCCTGTCCTCCCCTCTGCCTGTTTTGCCCTCAACCTGTCAGTAGATCAGACGTTGACAGGTCGAAAGGGAAGAATATGCGGACTCATTGACCACGTTTGCATGCCCACCAATATCCCGTTATTATTGGGGATACTCAAGTATTATTTTTTTATTGACTCATATAAACATTACATCCCATTTACAATAACCCGAAAAAGCTTGTATCCCGGTTATGAGAAACCCAGATAAGATGCCTGGGATTTGCTGATCTTAGATGGGATACTGTGGCATGTAAACATATTTTCCTGTTTACTGTTGTTTTTTGTGGTCTGCACAGGCTCAGTTTCGCATATCATGTGTGTTGTGTGATTATGTTTTCATCTGATTGTCAAACAAATCACTTTTTTAAAAGTAGGCTATACCTGCGCAGTTCGATCCACCATAATTCCATAAGAATGTATTTTGCTGATACACTGTAGCCTACTGGACCGTATAGCCTACTGGCTTAGGCTACTTTCACCCCTAATTTAGATACGCTTCTGCTTATAATTTCCAGCATTTGGTAGGCCATATTATAATTTCCAGCATTTGGTAGGCCATATTATAATTTCCAGCATTTGGTAGGCCATATTATAATTTCCAGCATTTGGTAGGCTATACGGTTTGTCAACTATATTTAGATACATGCAGCTTCTCTTCTGTCATAACTTGTTGCCCAAAAGACTAAATAAAGTAGATAGAATGAATGCATTAGTAATCTAGTTAACACCGGTAAAGTTGTCTGTTTTGTTTAGGGATCGGGGAGAAAACGCAATAACTCCAAAACAGTGGAAAGATTGTTCCCGTGCAAAATGTCCAAATGTCATCAGTTTGACCGGTTTTAAGGAAATGAAAAGCTGAGAAAACGATGAAACACGTTTCTGATAAGACTTCACTTCGTTTTGGGTGCATATTTTATGTGGTTGAAATACTGTCTGCTTGCATAAGTGTCAAATATAAGTTACACACGCATTTGTATTTTCTCAAGAGATGCTGAAAGACAAATCATATTTCTTCACTCCTGTTCCTGAGACAAAAATTAACATGTGTTGTATAATTTTAGGCCTACTACAAGAAATGCATAAATATGCAGGAGTTCATATTATATTAGGCTACATGTGAGAGGTTATAGGCCTACAGTCAGTGTCCAGATTTCAGTTACTATTCCATTTAACCCATATGAACTTAAATTAGGAATATTCACTTTATTCATGGACAGGGTACTCGTGAGCAGAACATCAAAGGCGCATGTAAACAGCTTGTTTCGAATAAGACCTTAAAGCGGGATATGAGCTACTATCTGGAATACTGTGTGTATGTAAACGTGGTCAGTGATGGATAATGTAGGAGTTGATCAGACACACCGGATCATGAAATCCTAGGTGGTTGATCTCTTCACAATTTAGAGCATGAGGGAAGTGGCATTCAGTACCGGTACATTCTTTTTCACACTTTGAGGAAATTGAGTCCATTTCGATCCATACTTCAGGATATGAACAAAAGGATAATAAGAATGCATTTCCTTCTCCAGTGGGTTCAGTCCGGTTGTTATCTAGCTGTGTCCTTATCTGCTGTTGGTTTAGTGTTGCTTTATTGATGGACAGGGCCCGGCATGCAGTGGAGTGTGACTTTATTGGTCTGAGATAGTCAGACTGAATGGAGGAAATGTACAGGGTTTATGAATGATACTACATCCAAGGTCCTTTTATAGTACTTGATGGTGTCTCAAAACCATATCTAAACCTTTTACTGAACTGTCTTAGTAGTAATTGCACATGTGAAAAACACACTGACTGCTCCTCCAGTTGTACATAAGAGTACAGTAAGCTGTGGAAGTGATAATGGTAACTTGGCCAGGGGTAAAGCCACCATTTCATCATGCCTGTTACTGGAATCATAAACTTTTTATTTCTGGCCAGGGAATTCCACATTGATTATAACCTCATTAACTAGAAGGGCTGTATAACATCCTTGACTAGAGGTAAACTCTGATAAATGCCAATCACATTACAAAACAGTTACACCCTTGTCACAAGGCAGGTTACGTCTTTCAACAATAGGCCATCATTTTGTTCGTTGAAAGTTACATGTGGTTGTCAGTTGTAGGGCCGCAGAAAAAGGGGCCAAAGTTGTTCCTAGTCAAGTCACTATGCAGGAGAAACCCATGGCACTAGTCATGGGGGGTTACATCTGTCACCAAACTAAAGAGAACTTTCTGCACTTTTATCATAATATTTATGATCACTTTTAACCTGTCACCACCATCCCCATTCATGTCATTAAGAGACAGACTAAATGGATTACTCAGATTAAATAGGAAGAATGTGTATTAAAGCCATCAGTCAACGTCACATCAATCGCGACATTACTAAATGCCAAACACCGGAACCCCCCCCCCCCCCCCCCCCCCCCCCCCCCCCCCCGGACCCTCTCTGCATTGCCGTGGCAACAGCAACATCGCCTCGTTGAAGGGAAAGCAGTTGAACGTCTATCACGGTCTGGGTAAGTGATTCTCACTGAGGAGGAACAAATTGAAGCTTTTTGAGTTGGATGTTATTCCCTTTTTTGGGGGTCAAAATAGTAACATGGTAGCAGTACCTAGACATATCCAACAGGTGGCAGTCACACCATCTCACAACATGAGGAGCTCCCTTCGTATTTCAGACTGACATGTTGAAGGGTTTCTTAGGCTGCGTTTACACAGGCAGCCCAATTCTGATCTTTTTCCCACTAATTTATCTTTTGACCAATCACATCAGTTCTTTTCGCATCATATTTTTTTCAGAGCTGATCTGATTGGTCTAAAGACCAATTAGTGGGAAAAAGATCAGAATTGGGCTACCTGTTTAAACGCAGCCTTACTGATAAAGAAACGGTGTAACCTTTGAATAAAGCCAAAGTAAATTGCTCCCCTCTTCTCGTGATGTGTGTCTTGTCGTGATGTGTGTTTTGTCCTATATTTTTAATCCCCCGTCCCCGCAGGTGTCACGATCGTTGACTGACTCGGACCAAGGCGCAGCGGGATAAGAGTACATATTTTATTGAGTACTTTACACTAACAACAAAATGATACGTGAAGTCCTAGGTTAATCCAAAACAAACCTTACGGAACAAGATCCCACAATAAACTAGTGCCAAAAGGCTGCCTAAGTATGGTCCCCAATCAGAGACAACGAGCTACAGCTGTCTCTGATTGGGAACCACCCTGGCCAACATAGATATACAAGATCTAGAAACAACAACATAGAAAACTAAACAATAAAACCTACACACCCTGGCTCAACATAAAGAGTCCCCAGAGCCAGGGCGTGACAGTACCCCCCCCCCCCCCCCCAAAGGAGCGGACTGCGACCGCGCCAACCAAACACAACAGGGGAGGGGCCGGGTGGGCATTCCGCCTCGGAGGCGGCTCCGGCTCCGGGCGTGACCACCACTCTCCTTCTACCCCCCCCCCCCCCCCGTAGCGCCCCTGGTCTGGTCTGGCCCCGCTGGCCGGAGCTGGACTGAACACCGGTGGAGCGGATTGCTCTGGCTCCGCAGTGGAGCAGCTGACCGGTGCCGGACCAGGCACCGGTGGAACAGGCACGTGCCGTGCCGGACTGACGACGTGCACCACTGGCTTGGTGCGGGGAGCAGGAACGGGCCGGACCGGGCTGACGACGCGCACCACTGGCTTGGTGCGGGGAGCAGGAACGGGCCGGACCGGGCTGACGACGCGCACCACAGGCTTGGTGCGGGGGACAGGAACAGGCCGGACCGGGCTGGCGCGAGGGACAGGAACAGGCCGGGCTGGACAGTGGAGACGGACTGGAGGTCTCGAGCGGAGAGCTGACACAACCCGTCCTGGCTGAATGCCTATTTCCACACACGCTGTGTGAGGCATCAGCACAGGACGTACAGGGCTGTGCACACGTACTGGCACTACAGCACGTGGCACTGGCGCAGGATATCCGGGACCGAGGAGGGGTACTGGAGGCCACGAGCGTTGAGCCGGCACACTCCGTCCTGGCTGCATGCCTACCTTAGCACGACACGTGCGTGGTGCTAGCACATGACGTACAGGACTGTGCCGGAACACTCGCGGCACAGTACGCAGCTCCGCATAACCCGGAACCTGCCCAGTCTCACGCTGCCTAGCCTGAGTACGGGGAGTTGGCTCTGCTCTACCTCTAGGCTCCGCCAACCACCCTTCCAGCCCCCCAAACCTGGTGGGTGGCCTCCTCTCCAAGATCGCCGTTGCGCCCTGTAGCTGCCTCCAGCAGCCCCGTCGTCCACGCCGTGTGCCCTCCCCCAAAAAAATTACTTGGGGTTGCCTCTGGCGTGTCCGTCGTCGGCACGGTTGACGCCGTTTCTCCTCTCCTGCCTGGGCCTTTACTTTAGCCCATGGCCCTCTGCCCGCGAATATGTCCTCCCAAGACCACCATTGGCCAACCTGGGACATCGCCAACTCCTCCTGCTTGGCACGCTGCTTGGTCCTTTTATGGTGGGATCTTCTGTCACGATCGTCGTAAGAAACGGACCAAGGCGCAGCGTGATATGCGTACATCTTTTAATGAGTACTTTTCAAACAATAACAAAACGGTACGTGAAGTCCTAAGGTTAACAAAACACAAACCTCTCCGGAAACAAGATCCCACAAATGACAAGTGCAAAACAGGCTGCCTAAGTATGGTTCCCAATCAGAGACAACAAGCCACAGCTGCCTCTGATTGGGAACCACCCCGGCCA